CTGGTGTAGGCAATGGATCCGCTCGTCGGATTCCTGTCATGCCCATGCGACCTGATGAATCTGGTACCTACGATGCTCGTTATGGGGTCATGCACCGCCAGCATTCCGCGATGGGCTTATCTGTCAGCATCCCGCATCCAGGCTCCGCTGATCGATTCGCCGTGCCCATCGAAGACATTCGCTACCCCCCACATGAACGTGAGGAGGATGTTCTTCATTACGGTAACCTACGGCGGTTCAACAACGTAGGCACTCCATCTTCATGGCACGGTGGCAGCACTTTGGCATCGCGTGCAGGCCTCAATCAATCATATATCTCCTCTTCCCTTCCATCCCACCCCAACCACGCCTCGCCGCCTTCTCCGCGGATGGTGGGAAGGCTGGGTCCGGACAGTACGCTGCTGACACCTCTCCCCGGCTACCAAAATCATCAGCCCCACACAGGGATCCTTCCCCCTCTTCATGCCGCGGGCGACTTGACGTACGCCTCAGAGGGCTATGACCTCTACGAGTCGGATAGTCGACCGGGTACGGGACATGCAAGTATAGGAGGGCATGTCAGTGGAGATGACTTCGACCACCGTGGATAAAAACCCTATCAAACTCTGGACAACCGCCTCCTCTATGCTCACAGATCAATCCATCTCGCCTGCCCGTGACCACCTGTTACCCCTACACCCTAATCCAGGAATAATCGACCGCCCTCGATTCGCACCAAATATCCTCGTAATCGCTTCTGACAACTTCTCGGTTCCCTCCGCTTCTTAATCGCCTTTTTTCTACTATCATTCGCCTTTTTGCTGTCGAAAAATGTTGTCTATGATATATCCGTTGTATTTCCCCCTTGCCCTGTTTTCGTCTCACCTGTAGATATTATCGATTCTCCTCGGGTGTCTTTTGACTTACTTTCTGGTTCATATTATTTGCTTTCTTATCGCAATATCGTTGTATATTAGTCCCCGCATACCTATATTCTCGCAATATCCCTTCTTGATCTTGACCCCTTCGTTGCTACTTTGTATCTATTGGCACGGCTTTCTCCTTTCCCTTAATCGTCTGTATATACTTATTCTGTTTTATTGGTTTTATTGGTCTTCGGAGGAGTATATAGTATATACGGACTTGTAGACATTTGCAATTGGATGATCGGAAACCGACTTATAGGATTATCATGTGGGAATATGTGGACTCGTACAAACAACGCGCTCCAATTTCATTTTCACACCATCACATCAAGTCCAAGAAAAGAATCCGAGAGAAAAATCACGGGGTCGGAGGAGCTGAGATGAGCGATCCTATCAACGGGCCCCGGACGGAGATCTTGCTCCTTTAAACACACCGCCAACCCACAGCGCACGACTGAATCTCCACAGCCGTGCATACAACAACCAGCCACCAATACCGCTGTTAGTACGTGAGCGGATGCATCGTGTTCGCTCCGTTATGTATGGCACCTTCTCTTCCTGCCTTCTGTATACCGGGTGTGAGTTTGTGTATTGTCCTGATGTTGACTTCTTGAGTTCGAACTTTGGACCCAGATAACCCCAATTAGCCAAATTCTCGGATTGCACGTGAAGGCCTAAATTAGGACTAACACGTACGTAACCGGGTTGTTGGATTGGAAGGGATGGAAGGTTGAGTGGATCCAAGAGAACCCTGATGATAACACCTCTTTCACAGATTCAGATGCATGGATCAAAGAAGTCCCCATGGTCCGAAGCGTCACGGCCTGCCGTATTATTTCGTTTGTCTTCCTAAAATTTTCGGACACATCCCATCACATAATTCCCAGTTGTCAGTGAGCAGAAAAAGGCTCTGCTTCTTGTGTGAACTTGTCGCAGATGTTACACCTCCTCGTGGACATCCCCCGAGTTCAATCCCTCGCGTCTGGAAACAAAGTGGCGGCAACATTGGGATATCATTCCAGGTTATGATCATCATTCGATCCCACGCGAGGGGTCTCGAGGAGTGATACCTTAACGCCACAATCGGCTGCGATGTTGAGATGACATCGATGTTGGTATTTATACTGGGGATCATTGTATGAGAAATTTTCTGTCGAGCGTCCTCTCCACCACGATACTTACCGGACGCGCAACGTCAACATCTCTTGATGTGATTTGACGTTGACGAAAGGGAAATCAAAGTGTTGAGTAAACACGACGCGTCACGGTCACACGGACAAAAATAGGTGGTGCTTCTTTGGTTCGCAGTGAATGTGTCCCGAAGAACATGAGGGGGTTCGAAAGGTATTCGATGACGATACTGCGGCCGCTTAGCTCATCCGGGGCGTCCTGCTTAGATTATTATATATTCAAACTTGGCATGATAATTGAAGTGAGGAGTTTCGATTTTTGCGGCGCCAGCATGCTTCTTATGCTCAAAGATTGAAAGTGTAGTTTATTTCCCCGGATGTGAATTTCGCTAGGATGAGTGGGAGATGTTAATAGACATATTCACGTAATTGGTAGATGCGAGCTCGACACGCCTCCTCGGGGCATAAATGGGATACCGTGACTAAGCCGAGTAGTAGAACCGAGACAGGCGGCGGGCAAAGAGAAGCACCACCTGATTCAATGTGATTCGGTATTATAAGATTGACCCACTGGAGCTGGTATTTGTCAAGGTTTGCTCTTTCTCAGGACGAGAGGCATTGGCACAAGAACCCGTCATCGGACACATGTGACACCGAAAAGGCAAACACCAAAGACTTCATGGAAGAGGACATAGAGGAGGCATCCACTGACAAAGGGCTTGCCTTCTAAGGCCACGGGGCTCATCCTGACGTGGCTGGGGGAACGGAAACCAAATAGACCCTGCATTTGTATCATTTCAGGTTTGGTTCTGGAAACCCACAATGACATTAAAATGCCACAAATCATCTTCCATGGACTGTGAGACACGGAATGTCACAGGCCATCTTCCAGCCAACAGAGAAGCAAGCGGGTCATCACACTGTTGATCTAGAGTCGTTGGAAAGCTGATCGGCATCGTTCAGTGGTCATGATAACATTTGATGACAACCGTCGAAAAAAATAACATACTACTGTGAGCGCCTCCCTTGTTTTGAATCATACGCTAGTGTCGCGCCCTTCGGGATGTCATGAGCTATCGCTCAGCCCCAAGGAATATACTTGTTTTAAGGTAGAAATTAGCGGAAACCCCACAAAATGCACAGATTATACCCTTTGAGATTTTTGGCTGTCATTCATCCCCGGCTGGGGTGCTATGGCTGGAGCGTATCCAACGTGCAAGCTCAACTGCGCATCTTTACCGTCAACAAGTAGATGCACAGGATAGTTGAGGAGCTTCACTGCCTTGTGTGTTTGACGAACTCTATTCGTTCTACCGGGGTGAGCGGTATGTATCAAGGGTAGGTCGGGAGATAGAAGCTCCTCCGTTGTATCCCTCGATCACGTTTCAGCATCACAGGACTGGACAGGTTTCCTGGGGCAGGGGTGTTGCCCTCACAGCCCGTAAGATACGGAAGGCCGAGAGGCTTCCGATCTTTCGAAGGTGCTCAATTATTAGCTTTATGCAGCATCGATTTATTGTGTCCACGGGACGCTGTCACACCTCGAAGGTATTGTGCGGCGATTGGAAACAAGTCGGTGGTAGTTTTGACACGGCAACTACACGTGCACGAGACTGAGAGCGGCCTGGATTTGAATGCAGACCTAGGGCCCAGGGAAAATGAAGTGGCCTCTTAAGATCCTGTAAACTCATTCAATGCTAGTCGGGTATTCTACATAGATATCGTGCTGTTCATCCGGGGCGTTGAGTTGGAATCGCCGTCTCCCTAATAATTGGCCGCCACATCGAAGATCAACCAGCTCCGCATAGATGGTAGAGATGATAGAATTCAGTAAGAGGGCCAGCCCCTACGTAACACAGCACGCACCACTACTATAGAACATTCTTCGAAGTAGTTGCGGGGAATTGCGTTAGGATATCTCGAGTCCTCTCCTTGGAGTGTCAAGTACACAAGGTGAGGTGTCGACATCTCTTTGCAATCCCCAGCCGTGGTCGGCTTGCTATCCGCATAATAGACTAAGCTTGGACACACGTGGTGAAATACTGGAACTGGAAGGATTCTTGTGGCCCGCTTCTTGCTCGCTTCATAGTAGGTCGTCCCAATACGCCTTGGCACCCAGCTAGGTATCAGATGACTGATTATCTGCGTAGGGTCCATGTTCGAATGGCGTTTATCTTATATTCGTCCTCGGTTCCGCGCTCAACGCCGGAGTGTACCACCTGTTTTCCCAGAGTCCACCAATTGATTCGACTTGACAACTCCCAAGTGGGGTTTACAGAACCTCTTTCGGCGAGTGCATTATTCGAGATCCATCTTTCGTTTACCCATGGGTCATCATTGTACATCCGGAGAGGTTCCAAGATTTTTTTTGAAATACAAAGTTTACAGACAGCGGAATTACCGTGCCGGATGTTTGCGTTCCGATGGTTCTCGGGGGTAGACCAGACCGGAGGCGATCACAAGCTAAGAACAGGGGAATTGTCTCAAGCACATCCGTTTCCAGGTCCGTGAACATTAGTATCTTGGAGAGATTCAAACTCGTCGCGGGAGGCTCGACTGTCCACAACCGTCCCGACTATCCAGGACCGGGGTGGGAACGCCGGAACCAGACTGGAGACATTGGCGGGCTCAACGGCTAAGATGATGTTTGGCACTACCAATCTACGACGAGCGCCTTTGGTCAGTCATTTTGTGGGGAAATGATATGAAAATACGAGAACCCCATAATACCACGATCATATCGTCAGAGACACTCGTAATAGCTGCGTTTCACATTACTATGTATGGTGTTGTGCACCTGACTAGGGTCTGCCAAATATGGAACAACCAAGAAGATCGGCGTTGAGACCAAAAAGGACATGTGGTTACGTCCCGCCGACTCACTCACAGGCGGGTTGACGAACTCATGTAAGTGTTCGTTGTTCAGCACCCATTTCCCTCAGAAAAAATAGCGGGGAATGTAACTGGGCCTGACCGGGAATTGAACCCGGGACCTCCTCGATATTGCTTTTACAGCCCTAACAAGGAATCATACTACTAGACCATCAGGCCTCGACATTAATGGATTTCCCCTCGGAACCTCACTGTATACAAGATCGGTTCTCATGCTTCCCGAAGCCGTGGGGTTCAATGTATAAGAAATCATCTGAATTTCGTGAATATACTACGTAGAGGAGTCACTACAAGATTCCTAGAACCCATCACGTCTTTGCCCATGTGATGTCCGTCTCGTTTCAATCGCGGGACTGCAATGATAGGAATGGGATGTGAAATTTTCAAAGGTTCTTTGGTGGTGGATGATATCCGATCCCTTGCGTTGGATCGCTTTATATGAGAAGGATGGGGCGTAGAAACTGAAAACGGTGGCGGCGATTTCTCAGCGTCTGCCGACAGTGACTCATACGTATAAGACTGTCGGAGTGGTGAGCCGCCTAGCGGTCGGTTTATTTTGTCTTTGTCCGTGAACAGGGGCAGCTTCGGAGACGTCGGATAGCGATGGGAGAAGGGTCTCGGCAGCGGCGGTGGCGGCGGTGATCCAAGGCCATAGTTTCGTAGGGTATCTGCCCAGGAGTTTCGAGCTGGCTTAGCTGTCTGTAGAGAACGTACAACAGAAAGCGGCGGACTCGGGGGGATCAAAGCGGAGAATACAACACTCTGGCGTTTTTGATGGTGGGGCGGGCTGACGACGAGTGAGGCAGACTCTGTGCGTTTCTCGAGGATATCGACCACAGTCTCCTGCGGCAAGACGAGGGAATCCACGAATCGGACGGTCTTCTTGACCTTAGGAGATCTTGCCCGCAGGGAGGGGCTGATGAGGGATGGCCGAAGTGGAAAAGAAGGCGGAGGATCTGGACAGCTGAAGAGATCTTCGGATTGATTGCCCGCCACGAGAGGAGTTCTCGGACCACTACCCTTGTTGAGGTCACCGCACGGGTCGCGCGAAAGGATCGGTATATTAAGGATATCGTCTTTGAGAAGTGTCGGATGAGCGCTCAAGTTGTCCGAAAAGGAGTTGATCATGTCCATTAATGGTTCTGCGAAAGCCCATTCATCCTCGTCGGAATTTGACTCAGAGGAAGTTGTATCCGACGGCTTCGTGATATCCTTGCTGCAAGACCGAGGTCGATAGAACCAATCTGCGGGTAACGAGACCCTTGAAGAGAAGGATGCACACTTTTCGCGGAGATTCTTGAGCATTTCATCCAGAGTGAGATTCTGTACGACTGGGCTTATAACACGATGAAATGTGGGAGAATAAACCGTCGGAGAGCCTCGGAATGCAGTCGGAATTGAATCAAAAGACGTTATATCTCTCCTTCTACCTGAATTCACCTGGTTTATCTTGAGCAAGGGAAAGGCTTTGTGACCACGGCGAACAGCCAGACTTGGACGTTTCTTGGGAGTTATTGGGTAGAATGAAAAGCAATGCGAGGTATTTTTCTCATGTAAGCCTCCAGAAGGCACTACAGGATCGCCACCAGAAGATGTTGGGCGATTCTTTTTGCCGTATGTCAGTGTTTCACGATTGAGGGCCAGCACGTTACGTCTTGGGAACTTGCTCGCTGAACGAGACCATTGTAACGTTCCATTTAACTCTCGAGCTGGCGGCGCACCGGCGAAACGAGGATCGAGCCGCCCTGAGAATTTATTCGGGTCATCTGCCTTCGGAGAGGATGTTATCGAACCACCCCAAGGGACGTGGTCCGGCGGCGTTTGGGGTCGCACCTTGGCCTTCGAACATGAGTCAATTAGATTGAAGGCCAGGATAAGTCCGTACCGTCCATCTGTCCACAACAATCTTTTCCTCCAGAATAACTTTCATACGGGGTGAAGTAGGTGTAGTGGTGACAATGATCCGTTCTTTCTGGGTAGACCTGGTGTGAGTTTCTTGGTTAATCATGCTGTATTCTTCTCCGAGGTCCATTAGCGCGAATAGGGGAGGCCGACGTCCAGAAGGGAATCGAGGGATAGATTCTGCCAAAGAAATGTGATCGAGAGACATTGAAGTCGTAATTAAGGGCTCGGAGAAATCCAGTAGCAATGTCGAAGTATTGCTCAGTGAGGAGCGGAGAATTAAAGAGCCACTGGACCAATAGGTATCGGACTGATAAAGGGCCATCGGAGGAGCGCGGCAGTCTAGTTATAAACGAGTGTCGGAGAGAGTTAGATTAGTGATGGAAGAAGAGAGACATAGGATTGTGGTTGACAAAATGTCGTCAGTGGTCAACTGGTCACAGTCCAAACTGAGATCTCCACGTGCTTTGAAACCTCTTGTGTGCATTGTCTTATGATAAACTGAAGTTGCCCATGGCAATATGTAAGCGTCATGGATTTTATCCTCACAATAAATCGGTCGATGGCGGAAGGGCCGATTAGCGCTCATGCGCGCAGGCTTGGCATCAATCTTGGGGGTATTCACGTGAGTAAACGGGGATACTTGACACTCGCTTCTTAACAGTTGTTGCCGCCTATGCATGCGGTTCACTCCATGTCTCGAAGTCCTTTCGGTGATTTGAGCATGTTGCTTCGAGTGTAGGTGCCACTCACACCTCCTTGCGGTGGCGGCGTGGCCAAGGAGGAGCCACGACGATTTTTACAATCAACTCTGAACACAGTACCAGCGACTAACAGGAAATACTTGTAGTGGAGTTGCTGAGATGAAGTGGGCTGCTTATTCATTCCAACATTGTCGTTCATCCTCTTCATATCTCGGCATCGGATGGCGTATCTCATTGGCCCGCATGGCTCGAGCAAGGAAATATCTCTTGGGCACCAATTCAGACGAGAACGGAGCTTGACGACACGCGATAACGCTATCGTCTCATGGACGACTGACTTCTATTCCACATGGCATACTTGTCCAGAGTATGAACAGCCTGTTTAAAGCTGGTCTGATCCCAAATTCGAAATCCCGGTTCCCCTCGTCCCCCGAACCTACCAGAATGAAGTGCCAACTTGCCCTCCTGAACCTCATTCTCACTGCGGTGACCTTTGTCCATACCGCCCCCATCTCTCATGAGGAGATCGTAGAGAACTCTGCTAAGGGCCTGCACCTTCTTCAATTTACTGAGGATTCGGATCCTGTTTGGAAGGACGACGATGAAGAGCTTAAACTCATGCGTGCCGGTGTCAACTTCGTGAATTTTAACATATTACGCTTGCACAGTCAATGATCTCATCGTTACATTCCCCAGTTCGATGTAACAGAAACTTACGAAGCTGAACAGGGGCTGCAGAAGGCCAGAACCAGTGGCGATGCCTCAGTTGCTACCACTTGTAAGATAGAATTGCCTCTCATTGAATGAACCCCTTAACTCATCGCTTTTCAGTCCCTGCACCTTCACATCAATCCTCGGTCACTCCATTGTTGTCCAAGCTCTCAGTTTCAAAAATGCAAAGTGACCTTTCGTCTTTGACTGCGTTCAACAATCGTTACTACAAGGCCCAGACGGGTGCTGATGCCAGTGCATGGATACTGAGCACCGTCAAGAGTGTAGGTGTAGGATTCTCATGAACTATGGTTTATTATTAACTCGTGCTTGTTCCAGATCACCAGTGGTCGCTCAGACATCACTGCCAGCTATTTTACTCACAGCTGGGTTCAATCTTCAATCATTGTCAAGATCGCTGGAACCGCGACATCATCTCCCGTGACGATTCTTGGTGCTCATATGGATTCCATCAATCTCAGCAATCCCACAAATGGCAGAGCTCCTGGTGCTGATGATGATGGTACAGGCAGTGTCAACCTCATTGACACTCTGCGTGTCCTTGTTTCGTCCGGTTTCAAACCATCAACTCCCCTAGAGTTCCACTGGTATTCTGGTGAGGAGGCAGGTCTTCTCGGTTCCAACGCTATTGCCACGAGCTACAAGAGCTCTGGCATCAAAGTCAAGGCATTTATGGAGCTCGATATGTCTGGCTAGTGAGTCGCGTGTTGTTCAGAGCCGAAACAAAGGCCTCATGGTCTGGCTCAACAGCTTCGCACCTGGCTCTAAAGAGGTCTTCGCCCTCGAGGCCGATTACATTGATGAGGGTCTCAATACCTTCCTCAAGCAATTGATCACCACCTATGCCAGTATTCCCTGGGCTATGGACATTCCCGTGCGTTTGCCTCCGTCCTCACTTGTATTTCATAATTAATCCCATGGTGGCTTGTAGTGTGGCTATGCGTGTTCTGATCATGCCAGTTGGTACAAACAAGGATATCCTTCTTCATTCCCGTACGAGGCCGTCACCGGTGATGATGACCCAAATGTACACACCTCCTCCGATACCACCAGTATCTCTGGATTCTCGTGGACGCACTCCTTGGAATTCGCGAAGATTGCTGTCGCTTTCGCTTACGAACTCACGGCTTAGGGTACACATTAACATGTATCGAATATAAAGTATTATTGAATTGAAGCTGTGCTACGAGCACCAAACTGATTTATTATCCATGGTGTCCATGATCTACCGTATGTAAATGATCGTCGACTGATCAAAAGATCAACCGCGCTCAACGGTTGTTTGATTTTGTTCCCACGCCAGTTTTGCTGTTTAACTTGATTTTCGTCTGTCTCTCTGCATCTCGTTCACTCATTTCTCTGGAGTGCCGTTTCCACTCTTCACCTTGCACTCAAGCAGCTGTATACCCACGGCCACAGTATTGGAAGTAGCCATTCACTTCTAGTCCTGGAAAAGTACGTTTACATATCATCTCCCTTTAATGTGATGAGTTTTCGTTATTTTGCACGTCAGTCTTAGTGCGAGGCTTTCAGTTCCGCGCAAAGATGTCAATTTCCGCGTTCTTTCTGATACTTCTCCGCCTATGATCGTTCGAACACTGTTACTCAATTGTTACTTTCAGGTGCCGGCTTGGCCTTCCCGGTAAAAGGCGTTTTTGTTGTAAGTTTAGATCACGTTGGAATAGAGTTATTAGTGGCATTGTATCATCGCTAACGGATCATTTTACTTATTCTTTTCACTATCATCCTACTTCCTCTTCCAATATATCATCATACCTCGCAGAATACCTGCTCCCATGTCCACCACTGCTCTGTCCTCTT